AAAAAAAAAAAAAAAATGTATAAAATTAAAGTAAATGGATAAATATAGCCCTCTACTGGTTCTGTTATGTGCTTACACTTCAATGCATCTCAACATTTCTCTAGTGAATTTTTCTGATTTTTAGAAGTTCACCAAGAAGAATCAGATTTTAATAATGTTACATGGTATAAAGAACATGGAGAAAGTAACAAGAATACATCATTCTAATGATACATGTTCATATTATAACCTATTTTTCAGGTTATAACATGGTAATCCAGAATATTAGAATTTTTAGTATGAATTCAAATATTTTGTGGATATATGCTATTATTACTATCAGATAATATTAATTACCTATCAAACTGTAGGATAAACTAACTGAGGTAGATGGAGTTGATCATGATATATTCGTGCTATGAAATACGTAGCTATTAGTAAGTAAGACTTAAATTTTTGACCTGGAATTTATAGTATGAATTTAGGGGAAAACAAATTGCATAAGGTATGTGTGTATATATGTGCATTTTTTAATATGAGTATATTTGTTTAAAAGAAAACTGGAGAAATTCTTATGTTTGTATAAGCAAAGAAAAGCATGAGCAAGGATATATGCTACACAATATTGGACCCTTTAGAGAAATCAAGTTTGGAAGTACTGGGGGAGATTAATTCTCAACATTTAAGAAAAAACCAAAAGGAACTGAAATGGAAAAGCTCAAAAGGGCCAATAGAAACAAGGACCTTAATCTGAATAGTTTTAGAGAACGAAGGCTGGTCCTTAGTTTCCACCCTCCACTGGTTTTCTGAGTTTGTTTACTGATTTAAATAGGATGTGTGTGTGCTCGATAATCTCCTTAGATGTAAGACTGATGCCCCAATTGTTTATAATGTGTGGTGTTTGGTATTTTTGTTTTCCTAATAAGCTTTTCCCTTGTTCTGGGAATTATAATAAAATCCTTTCCTATTTAACCCAATTAAGTGTGTTAAGGGAGGGCCTCTATGAAAAGGCCCTTCTTTGAGGTCTCTCAGTGGAACTGATTGGTCCTGAGAAATCTCCGTGGCTCATAAAACAGTTCATAATTATTGAAGGCTTATTATGAAGGCTATCTGAATTTCTTCCCTCCAAAATGCTAAGGAATAATTTAGGCAACAATTCAGACTCTAAGAATGAAGATGGCTCAGTCTTTTCACAGACTGAACACAATATTGTTGCAACTTACTTGATCATGGCAGGTATGGATGTTGATTTCATTAACAGATACCTTGCTTTGGAGTGGGCAATGAAACGCAGAGGCTTGCAGCGTAAGGCTATAGAAAGGGCATGTATTGTTTCATGCTCATTACGGGCCAACTTATCCTTAGTTGCTCATGTGATAAATGAATATGACAATAATCTATTTCTGGGCTAAAGAGATCAAATAAGAGAATGTAGGTGAAGGCATAAATGAAAGCATTGTTAATGGTGGGTAATCTCACAGGTTATTTTCAATTTTTATAAATAACGTGAGAGCACTAAAGGGCTGAGTTTTCTATGCTATAAATAGTTCTTTTAAAAAAATCATCTATATATTTGGTTATTACATTGTTAAGTTTCTATTGGGAAAGAGTATGCACCGTGCCAGAAATGTATTTTTATATCATTAGCTGTTCATATACATAATTTTCATATTTTTATTCTTGGTGGTGGAATCTAGCTAAAGATTGAAAGTTTCTGGAAAGAAAATGAGAATCCTAAAAAGAGCAGAGCAGAATGTCTTGTTACTGACGGCAGAGTTTTGAATGCTACATTTGGATTTTATCTTTTATTTTTGCAACTGTGAGCAAATTCCTTCACGTTTTTGTTCTTCCATTTTCTTGTCTGTAAAACAGGGATAAGAATAAGCTGCTTGTCATGTTTGTTATGAGGAATAAAATTAAATGACGCCTAACTGAAACATAAGCAGGTGTTAGACAAATCTTTCTTTCTCTGCACATTGAACTCATTGATACAAATATTGGATGAAGATAAAGGCTTGTTTGCCTAATAAAAGGGAAAAAAAGGGGGGTGATATGAAATAAGTAACTCCTTTGTTATATTGGGTTCATTATTTTGGGGGTTGACTGTCATAAAAGTTTTCAAACCTTCAAAAGTAGAGTGAAAAGTACAACAAGTACTCTTATACCCAGTTTATTCTTTACAATTACTTGGTTTTTCCCTCATAATTCAGAGTGTTACTTCTTGTGCTAGAAATTGTGAGTTCCTCAGTTTTTGTAATTTTAGTGACATGTTAACTTGATCATCTAAATACCTCTAAGATATGAACTGGACAAGTTCTATTCTTTTAATTGTTTCTTATTGCAAAAAAAAAAAGAAAGAAAGAAAAATTTCATGACTATTACATGAAACACTTTATATATGATTATTTTGTTTTGTTTGTTTTTTTAGATGACCAAGGAAAACTGTCTTTTTTCGGTCTTATTACAAAAGCAGCATGCAAAGGAAATTTCCTAAGAAATTTCTTATCCCTGTAACAATACCAAGCACTGTTCTAAAACCTTTTTCCTAATTCAGTAAGTTATATTTAGTTTTTTTTCCCCCTGTTTGTACAGATGAAGAGTTTAAGAAACTAGCTCAGCACACCCATCTGCTAAGCAGCTGCCCCAGGATTTGAACCTAGGCGCTTTGAGCTCTCTCATGTAACTACAAGAGTCAGTTTTATCAAGATACACCATGAGGAAGCGTTATCTGTTTGTGTTTCTGGCAGATGAACTGAAGGAAGCATATCTAACTCTCTACGCTTTTGTTCTGTTCCTGCATCAAACATCTATTGTTCTTCAGATCCCCTCATTTTCCTCCTTTAACAAAATTCACTTAAACTCCCAAATCAAAACCAAAGCTGTGAGGAAAAGGGTGCAGTGGAAACATTGGTTTCATTTGTTGTTACTTTTACCAACACCTATTCAGGTTTTTCATTTTTCAATTTAATCTTTCATTTAGATTTTAGCTCCTGTAAACTGTTGTCAACTTCGAATGCAACAGACATTTTGTTAATTTAGAATACTTGAGCACTCTTCTCCCATTCTCCAATTGAGGCTGGAAGGTAAGAGGGCACGAAGGGTCCGAAACAAATCCATTACGGATGAATTAGAGAATGAAGGGTGAGAGACAGGCTGAAGGAGGTGAAAAGGCTGCCCAGTGGGCCATGAGGAACCATTTATGCCTGAAGAGGGGGGGGGGACCTGATCTGATCTGCATTTTAGAAATGTGCTAATGTGGCAGCTAAAAGACCTCAGAGGAGGCCACTGAGGTGATCCTGTGGAGGGAGTAATGGCAGTGGGAACAAAAAGAAGAGGATCTGGCTCAAGGGCTAGAAGGAGAGTTCCTGATTGGACATGGGGCTTGAGGGAGAAGGGAAGGGACCATCGGAGAGAAAGCCTTGTTGTCTTTTTGGAGGCTACTGAAGAGGAGAGAAGTCCACACCAAGTGCTGTTTAGATTTAGACCAAAAGATACCACTTAACTAAAACTTAACTGTTAAGCAAGTAATGTGGACTTACTGTATGTACCCTCATATTTCGTGGCAATTAAAAAAAAGTGATCTGTTCTAGTGATGCCACTAGAACACCTACAGCTAGGGGAATAAGGCTGAGAAAAAAGGGCTAAATTATTTATCTCACACCCCCTGAAAGGTATAGTTACTTTATTTTGGTTGCATACTTAGTAGGCAAAAATTTAGTGCATTTTTATCTAATTTAAAAATCATCAAATTAGTGGCTAGCCCAGAAAGGTTCTCTTCATTTAATTAATTTTTTAGAGTATTTCTTTTACACATGCTACAATATTAGATGCTAAAAATAGAGCCAAAACGCCATCAAATCTGCTATCATTGTGAACTAATTATCTTGAAGGAATAATAGAAACTAAGCAGTATGTTGTGGCCCATTTATTAAATAAATCTGA